TCGGTTCGGTTCGGTTCACCATAGCTAAATACCATACCCGCCCCTAAATGAAGCGGTTCGTTAAAATCAAAATCATAAACACCCCATTGCACTATCGTTTCGATTTTTTTCGCCCCATTCGGTTTGGTTAACCGCGGTTTTCGGTTTTCACAGTTCGAACACATCCTAACACTCCGTTGATATCCGAGAAGCAAGATTCTCCGTTTTTTATGAGCTGGCACTTCGTCATCAGTTCCTAATCATCCTTTGACTTCATGGCAGACTCTCGCCAATTGAGTCCATATTACGAATTAAATAATATAACATACAAATATTATTTCATTTAGAGAAACACAACTTGTACAACTTAGGTTGACAATCTCTTACAGTGGTGGGTCCCACCGTGTTTTAAAAAAATAAAAAATTACCCACCCGCCCATCCCATGTGCGAGTGGTTGACCCACCCAAGATCAGGACCAGCCAATCTACCTTCATTATTGTACTTATTGTCTTCCATCAAATTTCTTGTAGAAAAATCCCCATCCATGAAGAATTTGGTCGAGGGGCTCGGCATTGAAGGAGATAAAATGAACTCCAAGGTTTGCTTTCTTTCTAATTGTTTATTTTATTAGATAATTAGAATAATCTAAAATCAAACTTTAAATCATTAATAGTGTGTGTTTCAAATTGGAGCTAATTTTAATTAAAGTAAATAAGTAGATATTAGTTTTCGTGACTTCGCCACTTTATTAGTGTATGCAATATTGTTACTTACGGAATAATTTCGACAACAGTCGAGAGCAAAGATGGAAGTAATAGAATGAGAAATATTTTCTAGTGGGATTGAAGTTCGATTGGACGTGTAATTCTACTGCTTATTGCCCTTTTCATTCGAATTGGTGACAATTTATTTGAGCTTTATTGTGAATTACAATCTTAGAATAATTCTTGAATTCTGAGCGGTGCGTGGCCGTTATTTTGAGAAAATAGAGTTTTGAATAGTGATTTTTTAAAATATGTGGTTCAAAAAAAAAAAAGGGGGTGGCCGTTATTTTGAGAAAATAGAGTTTTGAATAGTGATTTTTAAAAATATGTGGTTCAAAAAAAAAAAGAAAAAAGGAAAAAATTTTAAATTTACGTGCAAAATATTTTATTGTGTAAACGTATGGTTAAAAATAAGTATGAGAATTAAAGAATTTTGAAACAATGGTTTGAACCTTGACGCGAAATCGCACTTTTAAAAATATAATGTCTTAATTGGGTAATTAAATTTCAATTTCGGTTCAAATTCATCACTCTCTCGTGCATTATGTCCCGAATTGATGAAATTTTTTAATTAAAAATCACGTTGCAACAAATCTTCCACGTAATAGCTGCGTAATATATCAAAAGGTGGTATATTAGTGTTACAATTTTTATTTGTTACATCACATTTTAATTTTTTTGGCGAATTCTTATCTTCAACCTTCCATTAATTAGTATATCTCGTCTTTGATGATAATTTATGTCATAGTANCATTAATTAGTATATCTCGTCTTTGATGATAATTTATGTCATAGTATTTTGTTTCCATGCTTTGAAATGAGAGAAAAAATATTTTTCATGTTTATTTATTTATGTTTTAAAATATGATGAAAAAAATAAGTTATACATTATTTCAACGAACTTTTTGGATATAAACCGTTATTAAAAACAAAATATGTTACCTAACGGAAAGTTTAAGGATAAAAATATCATGAAAAATCGGTAGAGATATAAACGATATAATGAGTATACATCAAACTTATGACTATGATGCGTCATAAAAGTGTTGAAATATATATTGAAATACATTTGAGCCCTTATTTGATAATCATTATTTCAAAACTCTTTAATTTTTATATTTATTTTCAACCAAACATTTTAGAGTGATGGTTGGAGTACATGCAATTTTTCCAGAGGGAGTTTACGGGCAAGACACATGGTGGGGCCTGCGCAATTTTCATTTTTATTTCAATACATGTGGTACCCGCCCCCTTGTGAGGGGCCTGTAAGGCCCTTGTTAAAACTGCTCCGTACGTGGGGCATTAGCCAACATTTAAATAATAAAATATTTTGTACGTAAATTTAATTTTTTTTCTATTTTTTAACTACACATTCTCCAATAAATCACTATTCAAAACTCAATTTTCTCAAAATAATGATTGTCAAATGGGGGCTTAATCTAAAAGCGATATTGTTAGGTTATACATAACAATTACGCAAAAGATTAATTACGATATGAATAGCAATTAAGAAATTTTTGTTAGTTTGAGGACTATTATTCTATCGATGACGGAATTCGATCGATCGATGAACTTTTTAAGAATTTTTTGTTAGATTGAGGACTATTATCTATAGATGACGGAATTCGATTGATCGATGAAATTTGAAATTAAATTGAAGCTCAATAATTAATTAAGACAATTTGAAATTTAGTAGTCCAATTAGATTTTGCTTAAAACTTAGTTATTGAGAATGAAATTGAACTTGACCATCTCTTTGTGTTGTACGATTTAATTGGAACCAGTGCTTTTAGAATGTCGATGAGGAAACTCTTGCTTCTTGTCTAAGATATTCGGTCGACCAAGTGAAAACTACTTATACAAACAGTTCTTTTTTTTTTTCTCCCGCAAATTGCAGGAAGCTAAAAGATTTCTTGAGTCTACGCAAAGTCAGCTACCAAATATTCTGCACTTTCATAAACCCATATTTTATTGAAATCTGAAAATGGCAGACGAATCCTCAGACCAGAAATTTATAGAAGTGGTTACTAATCACAGCAATGAAAATGAAGAGGATGATGCAAGTGATTCAGAGCTTCCATGGAAGAAGAGATTTAAGATGGCTCCAAGAAGGAAACTTCTGGTGCTTTGTCTTGGTGGATTGCTGGTAAACAGGGTGTTCAAAAGGAATCGGAAAAGGCCTCGACTATTAAACCCTGATGTGTATGATGGCAATTTTGAACGTAAAGAATTACTCCTTTTTTTTCCTTCCAGTTTATGCAAATATTTTTTGATTAATTTTGTGTTGGATTTCTAATTTTCTTCCTTCCAACACAGTTTTCGTGAGGCCCTTCTGTATTGATTTTATAAAATTTTGCTTTGAACGATTTGAAGTGGGGGTATGGTCTGCTACTGTAGAGTAAGTGACATTTACTTATTATTATGATTTTGGGTTTCTCTTTTTTTTTTTCCAGTGTAGTGTGTTCGATTTATTTGTTATATGATCACTGTTGTCGAAATGTATAGATGTAATACAGAAGATATTTTGAAGTGTTTGGGTTATGAAATGAAAAAGAACTTAGCATTTGTATGGGTAAGTCTGATTTCTTGAAAATGCCACAATTTTTACAGTATACCATATTTACAAGTGTGAGAGAGAGCATGGCATAATGAGAAAAGATGTCCTGACTCCGTTGAATCTGTTTATTAGGGTAAAGAAGAATGTATAGATTCTGGAATACCATGCCTAAGAAATAGGGAAAAGCCTCTGTTTCTGAAGGATTTGAGGCGACTGTGGGAAAAGAAATACCTTGATCTTCCCTGGCGTAGGGGACAATATTCGCAGTCGAATACATTGTTGGTTTGTGTTGATCCTCCCACAGCCTTGCTGAATCCTGTAACTAAACCATTCTAGGAATTTACAGTTTGAACAAACTAATCCCAGTTATTCTTTAAGATGATTGCTTCTTCTATCGTTTTCAAATGCAGCCTAATACCGGAATATTTCCCCAACCGTACAAAATCCACGACACGAAGATACGTTTCTAGGTGATCAGTTAGAATCAGCTTAAGAATTGGTTTTGTTAGTATGTATATACTTTGGCAGGCTGCCTCTGATTTTCCCTCTGGATGTGTTAGGGCCTAATGGTGAGTTGCGGTGCTATCTGGAGAGACTTGCAGATGTTGATAATGTCCCATCTTATGTAAAAGAGCATCCATTCGGACAGCCTGCAATAACACCTTCACATCCCGATTGGAATCACTACGCTAAGATTGCTCGTGAGTTTCGCAAGGAAGACGATGAAACTACTAGCAAATGATGTAAGTACAGATTTGGTTTGAAGCCAACTAAAAAAGACTTTGTTAATAGTTTGTGTGATTCGATTTCGTATCTCATTCAAATCAATTCATGAATCTATTAACCTCGTTCGGAAACTTTTTAGTTGTTGTTCACACGTCAAGTTGTACAAATTAACGTTTGCACATGTACATTTTCTCTGAAATATTTTTAAAGTTGTTTCATTAAGGGTTCGTTTGATAGGTAAATGTGAAAATGAATTTCAATAACATCTTAGTTGGAAAATAAAAACCAATCGGAACCATAGGAATTCGTTTTCCATGAAAACAAAGAAAATGTTGTACCTTAAAATTCGATTTCTATTTCCATGTTGAATCAAACGGTCGAAGTGGAATTCGTTTTCCTCGGATTTGACATTTTTCATGAAAAAGTACATTGCCTAAATCTGAAAAGAAGTGATTAATGGAAAAGTGTAGTTCATGGAAAAGTTGGAACTCCATTTATGTTTATTGGCCTTTAGTGGAGTACTTTACAACTTTTACTAAGCAGGGAAATATGAAGATAAAAGCAAAGATTAAAATAATCAATGACTATTGTATTTTATACTTAGTGTCATCATGATCATCTAAATTGATTTTGATTCATTATAGCCATTGTATTTTACTATCACCATGATCAATCAAATTGATTTTGATTCATCATGATCACTTAACTTCATATAACATTTCAATCAACCCATCCGATTATTACCACAACAAAAACACACACGCCACTAAAAAATTGTATACATAATTATTACACAACAAAAATAAAAATAATAAATGAGAATTAAAAAAAATGCGTAATCATTAGAAAAACTTAAAAAAAAATTATATTAAAGCAGAAATATGTTTTTCTTGATTTGGGTTCGATTTATATTATCTAATTTTTCCTGATTTGGTTTTTTTTTGTATGTGAAAGTGCGTGTTTGATTATTTGTATATTTTGTGTGGGGGGAATATTCAAAATAGCCTGT